GTTGCCTATATTTTATGTTAGCAGTAACTTTCCAAGTCTCTCGGTCTGCCCTTATTTTTTCTGCTATGTTCAAATAATCCATCATGATTGTCATTTTATTTGCCTGGCATTTGCAGCTATATTTTATAGCATTATTGATCATCTTCTATTCCTCTAACTTCCATAAAGGCAGAGTTCTTCAACTGCCCTTCCAGGCACTCTGGTCTCTGCCCTTTTCCCCATGAACGGTGGACTGCAATTGGGCCCACCAGAGGAAACTCCATGACAAACTTAGTAAGTGAAAGAATATGATTACTTTACTTGATCAAAATAAGGGTTATGCCATATAAAAAAGGAAAAGCATGAGAGAAGTGAATAGAGTTCTAGACTACAATTGATAGTAAAGGTCAACTATAAATGTTGTAGCATCTTTACTAGGTCACAGAGAAACCTGGCCTTCCTTTACTTGTCCCAAAGAGTTCAACTCCTCCTCTCAAAGATAGTCCTGTTCTTTAGGGCTAGAAAGAAATGCATATGCTGATCACCTATTCCCTCTTGCCACAGGGTGAATTCATCTTACAGCTTACTCTCACAGCAGTGTGGGTGTAGTGAAATTTCCATGCCCCAATCCTCCTCAAGTTTTCTTCACTAGCATTTCCTATAGGCATATCCAATGAGCTCAGCTTTCCTGGCATTCCTTGCTTCCCATGTTACATTAACAAAGCGGGAAACCAGGGGTTTTATACTCGTGATTTTAGAAGCATTCCACCTCCTTGAAGAATGCCTTCCAACTGGAGGTAGGTACAAAGCTAGACTGAGTATGGAATGTTTGGTGAAAAAATGAATGTCAATATTTTGGGGACAGTCATAAACTCATATATACTTGTTATGGGTTATTGTTCACAGTAACAGAGCCCTGGGGGTTGGAGTGGGACAGTTTTACTCTTGATTGTCCCAGGGTCAGTTAGGAAACCAGTAAAATCATTGATGGTTGTGGACACAAGTCAAAGGGGAAAAAAGTCACAAATGTCTTATACAATAATTCATTTCAGCTAGCAATTTTTCTCTGCGTCCTAAATTTCTGGAAAATCATCATAAATGTTCTGAATGCTTTATCAGCCTGAAGAACCTGGCAGGAAAGGTAGCATCTGGGGAAAATGCTACGCATGCATTTCGCTGAAGGAATGCTCTCATATATTGTGTAGTTTCGTCCAGTCTCCTGCCTGTCTGAAGCATGGAATAATTTTATTCCTTACTTGAGAGGGTCCAGGGCTCTTATTTGAAGTGCTCTGACATTGTTTCAAGGTTGAACTTGTTTGGAAAACAGTCTCTATTGTAATGACAATACAGACATAGCCAGCACTAGATTGCACAGGCCTTCTGCTGCAGACAGCTCCTGGAGTCAGCTGCCAAGAAAGGACAGAAAGTGACATCTTGGCTTCATTAGCTCAGTTTGACTTACCAGCCTTAAGTTACCCTACTGATTTTAACAGACTAGACAGAGCAAAGGGATTGAAGTTAGACAAAAGTATTTATGATCCCAACTGAGCCTTTTGCAGACCAAGTAAATGTGAATGTAATGTCCCAGTGCAGAAATACAGCTATTTTCTGAATTCTATATGGTTTCAAACACTAAGAAAATGCTTTTCATCAGTGGAAAATACATAGACCAACAGAATTTCAGACACATAATTCTTCAGAATAAGCTTTCATCTTACCATCTTACAAGTTTTAAGAAATGAAGTAATGTGCTCCTTTCCCTTTGCTTCCTTGAGTCACAATGATGTATATAACATAGATAGATATTTTTTGGCTGGACTCAAAAAAATAATTGAAAGAATCTAAGAACCAGATTCCACTTCCACCCTGAAACATATACACCACTACCTGTGGGCTGAATTGCAATTCACTTTGTTCAGAATACAGTGAATTAACTTTAGACTAAATTAGACTGCAGTCCTGAAATGAAGCACGCATGACTGAAGAGCAGCTATTGAAGAGAAATTGAGTGAAGTCAGCAGAGTCTCAGATGAACACAGGAACCCATCCACATACATCAAGTTCTTGGATAGCCACTTTTTCCTGTGGCCAGAGATGCAGAAAATGAACATTTTCAGAAATGAAAAAGAAGAAGAAGAAGAATGGGAGCAAAGGCATGTGCCACAAACACCTCAGTTTTTTTACTCCACTTAAAAGAGGGAGTGAAAAAAAACTTTGCTGTTGGGTGCCATACAGTGGCATTTCAGAAGTTGTTCAGTAAACTCAGACTAGATGAACACAGTGGTAAATGCTTCTACCATGGACACAGAGCCCACCGAGTCTGCTTCTCTTGTGCAGCTCAGACAAAGGATGTAAAGGCAAGGAGAGCATTCTGTCCTGCAAAATCAAGTGTGGAGGAACAACATCTTTCTCCAGCCCTCCCACAAGCCAGTAGGGCTGTTGGGCTGTTCCCATTTACCTGTTCTTCCTCACAACACTTCCTAGTGAAGCAAGGGCAGCTTGGATTTTTCAGGGTCCTGTCATCTGAGGCCTTGAACTGTCTCTTTTCTGTGACACAGACACTTCTAGCCAACACCCAATTGCCCATGCCACATTATTGATGGCATAGAACAATCTGTTCTTCCATTGTTTCAAAATCAAAATCACAAAAAGTTACTGTCCTTGGCAAGGAATGAGTGAGACTAGAATAGAAAAAAAGAGTGGAAACAGAACCACTGGAGACGGCCTTCTTAAAGGCTCTGGCCTGGAAAAGAATAACTAAGGATTCTTTTCATATCTAAAAGACAGTCAACACAATTAAGGTTTAATTTCTTTAGTTGCCCAATCTGAATCAAAGTCACATCTGTGCAAGTGGAGTTCAGAGCAGCAAGTAATGACAGTCAGGTACACATAAATCCTTAACAGATGCAAACCAAGCACAGGCTGCAAAACTCCTGGATGCACATTTTATGCTGAGATGGGTCTGGTCTCTCACTGAGGAGGGTCAGGCTGCTGCATTTCATTTCCCTTTACAGTATCATTGCACACACACTGTTTGTTTGAATGCTGGTCTACTTTAAAAGCTGCTTTAAGACCTGGCTGTGAACACGGGCAGCTCTTGCAGCCATCTCTTTCCCTTGGCGCTGCTGGGACAGTGCAGAGAAGCACAGTGTAAATGAGAGCTAACGTGCAAAACCATACCTTAATTGCTAATCTCTGCAGTTTCATTTGACAGCTACACAAATCCCATGCTAGAACTTAGAGCCACACTACACAGCAAAGAATTGCAGGCACTTAGTCTTCTAGACTACAGAGTGGCTTTCTGCTGGTTCAAAGCAATAGCAAATTGACAGAGGGGAAATGTGCACAGACATTTAATAAACTCTTGATTTTTTTTGTGTTTCATGACAAATAATAGCATCACCTAATATTGGAAAACTAGCAATGTCTATAAAATTGAACATAAGCCAACAGCTATTTTTGCACGTGTTTATGTCATCACAGTGCAAAGGCAGAAATAAAGAGATTTCCAGTTATCCACAGCCTGTCACAGTTTAGTTGCTTTCAGCAGGTACGACTGGAGCTGTATGGGTGATAGTCCCCAGGCTGAGCTCCCTTTGCCTTAAGAAACAAAGTGAGTTGAGTTGAAATAGACAATTATCCACCCCACATGTCTTTTGCAATCGGGGAAAAGGGGAAAGTATGTCTTGAAGGTGTTCCAAGGCCTTCGGTGAGCTGAGTTACTGTCTGAAGGCTCTCATAATCCAGAGACTATGCATGGATCAGAAATTAACTGGGTACCTAAATCTTTGCTCAGATAAAATGTAGCCGATTTCATTTAATAAATCCAGGCATTGGAGACTGCAGTAGGGCTTATTTATGTGAATACAGTGCTCTGAACTGACTCAGAACCTAGTGAAAATATTCTGACCTATTCACTGAAGATGTTTAGACAAGGAAAGCTCATCACATTTCCAAACACAAACTTGCAGAAGACTTAACATGAGTTATGTAGATAACATATATCTAAATGGTGTAAAGAAGAAGAAGCAAAGGTTTGTGGTTTGAACCAAGTACTGATGAACATAATTACTGTAATTATCAGGAAAAATATGTAAACAAAACAAAACCAACTTTTCCACAGAGATAATTATAATACTTTTATTTAGCAAATGTACTGAAGAATTGTTTTTCTGTAAAGACATACAGGTATGCCCCAATTCCACAGTTTCCATTCTCTCAAATAGCTATGAGTTTTTGAAATTAGTTTAATGAACAGAGGGGAATATATGTGGAGATGTCAAACTTATTTTTGTCATAAACCACATGATTCCATTTACCACTAATCCCCAAATAATTGACCTGGGGCCACCAAGAGCTTGCAGAACCCTTGCTGGTGCTTTATAGAGAACAGGGTGTTCACAAAATTTTAACTGTCCTCTTTCTAGACATTTGAAAGAAAAAAATACATTAAATACTTGCTTGATACATACTTTTCCATACTGGCAGTTGCTGAGGTTACCACAGGATTGCTTTGGTTTTTGTATTTTTAAAATTACATAAGGAAGGGCAGTGATCTAGGACATTATTTCCCTACTAAGATGTGCTTCAAACTATAGAAAATTTTCCTGAAACCCTGCCTTGTAAAATGGAGAAAAGACCCTACAGAATTCAGCATTCTACAGCCTACACTTGGCTAAAATAGAAATGGTTTTATTTTCCTGAGAATTGCATTCTGTTCTACTTTGAGTTAAACCCATATTTGCCTTGTACTACTGCCTACTAGTGATGTGTCCCTCACTTGGCAAGCACTGACATGATTGTCATTTTCCACTGTGCCAGATTGTAAAGCATGGAAGAGATGGGACAATATAAGGGTCTGCAATAATGATACAGGGGTGTCCCATATTGAGCCATTCTTTGGTTTGGCAGACAGAAATGAAGTCTGCTGCTAAGATCTGCCTTGTATATGTATGTTTGAATGTCCTCGTCTTAGGAGAATGTGTAGACATCCCTAGAGAGAGAAGAGACATCCCTAGCAGCCTGAAATGAAAACTCACTACATGCAAATCAAATTCTGTATAAAAAAAGACCTTAGAAACAAACCTAATCAAGAGGGCTCATCTCACCAAAAAATTAATTACGACTTTACACTACTGAACTCTGATGAACAAAGCACAACATTCCCTCAGATGTGAGGCCCAACTCAAAACACAAAGGAGGAGTACTTATTAAGTACTGATTTTTCTGAGATATTAATTGCTTGCCCTATTATTTAATCTATTCTGGTCTGAAAACAATCTTTCCCCAGATGTTTTTGGAATGTTTCAGAAAAAAAAAAAAAGAAAAAAAAAAAGAGGAAAAAAAAAAAAAAGAGAAGGTATAAACTTTGGCCCTATTAGGGTTAATGTTTTTGCATAGACATATATGACCATAAACTGGTCAACTAGTAGAGGTCTTCTGCTAACATTGTGACTGAGAACAGGAAGAATACAGCCACAATAATATACAGCTGTCTACTAAAAGAATTGCATACAGACATCTTTGGCCATGCAGTCTCTTGGCCTTCTGGAAATAAGTGAGCTGCATTGCTAGCATGACAAAAAAAATAGCAATGTTGAGAATTAGAAAGAGGCGAGTATAAGAAGCTGATATTGATGGGGCGCTTCGAGCAGTCGCCACCATCTGCGCCAGCCCTGATCGGCCTTTGATTGACATCCCAGTTTTGTGCTTCACATAAGTGATATCTGCAAAGTCCAGAAGATCTTTCATTTCCTCATCTTCATCTACAGGCAACTCTTTTTGTGCTTGAGTCTGTGCCTTTTGTCGCACTTTTCTTTCATTTACCTCAATCTGTGCAAAAATGTCAGGAACGGCATCAACAAATTTGTAGCCTTTGGCTACCTTTCTGTTTTTCTTTGCTCTGCCACGCTGCTGCTGCCTCTGTGAGATTGCAAATATCCTGTCAATGGCCTCCTCTGTCTGCCTCTTATCTGAAAACCTCAGCAGGCGCTCAGCAGTCTTCCTAAAGCTGGCCGTGTTGCGTACACGAGACAGGATCTGCTTCTCAAGCTGCTGGAAAACAGGTTTAAAATGTTGCAGGTTCCTCTCCACGATGCCTACGTAGTCCTTCACCTCTGGCACTGTGGAGCTCCTGATGGCAGAGGCTCGGTCAAAGACAATTTTCTGGCGGTCTGCAATAACCTGTGCAAAGGCAGAGCGGGAGCCATCCTCGACGGGCCACAGGTACACGGCATAGGCGTGCTCACCAGTGGTCACAAACACATCCAGCTGCGGGGAATCTCCACGCACGGTGAAGCTCTGCACGTCCACAGAGGGCCCAATGAAAAGGTAGATGGCCCTCGTGACGGGGTGCCGCAGCAGGGTCGTTACATTCACGTAGTTTGTTCCATTGTAGGGGTAGCCCCGGGGATACATCCTCGAGGCAATGGTGGCTTTCTCACTGTGGCCAGTGTCATCCATCCAGTACATCTTATATATCCCATCACGGTGCCTAATAAAGGCCCCATGGACATCATCAACAACTGTTTCTTCAAAAGGCACATCCACATTGTGGAAGAAACTGGTCGCTGCCTCCAGAGGGCTGTCATCTTCTAGGTGGATTTGGTCCACTAGCAGGAGAAGCTGGGGATGGAGAAGTATAAGGTTTCGTTGCAATTTTCTCAGCTTCAGTTTAGGATTGTATGCACCCACTCCTTCTCCCCTGATAAAAACCACCCCGCTTCTCTCTGTGGCAGCAACCACTCGACCCTGACAGTCGCCAGCCAAGTCATGTTTATATTTAAGCCACTTTGAGGAACAGTCTTCTGTAATCTGCCCTTCCCATGGGGAGAAGCAGCTCTTAGACACAGCAGGGGAAAACATCAACACATTATTAAAAAAAGTATATTTTGGCCCATACAGAGCTTCTGTTATGAAAGGTACACCATTGGGAGCGAAAGTGAAGGAGTTCTGGTCTGGGTGTTCGTGGCCAGCATTAAAGTTCCTCCACCCCTTGATCCACTCTTTGTACTTGTTCTTATGAACAATATCATATATTGCACGTCCTCCCAGCTTTCCTGACTTGAAGGAAAGGAAAGGCCTGTTGATTTCAGCTGGCAAAGCACTTCCATAAGTCACCACTCCCCAGTCCTCAAAATAATGTAGCTTAGGAACTCCATAGTCTGGTGGAGGTACAGAGCGCAAACTTGCATCATACCTGCAAAAAAAGATGAGAAAAATTGGGTTAAAAATCCCTTGACTGATTCCACTATCAGCACTTGTAAAAAACTCAAAAAAACATTCTCTATTTACATCAAAGAAGAGCAAGCCAACAATATAAAGCCCACAGCTATTCTTCCTAATCATATAGCTGTAATTATTATTCATCATACTAATCCCTACACAAATTTGTCGTGTGCTTTTTACAGAACAATAGCTGAAAGCATCTGCTCTGCATTTAAAGCAAGCAGTCTTTTTGCAGCCCAAAAATAAGAGTACCACTAATTTCAAACTAGCCATGTTTTGCCCTAGATAGTCATAAAACTACCAACTATAACATAGATCTTTAAAAAAGGCAGATTAGACCAGACACTGCCTAGACATCAGCATTTGTGCCTATTTACTGACTACTTAACAAAGAGAAATATCTGTTTCCCCAAAATGATGATTACAGAAATCTGTAGTCTTCAAACAGAATAGGCAATAAATTTAAAAGTAATGATGTAATTCTGAAGGTTAAATGTTTATTATTTGTATCAGTTAATGTATGTTAGTTTCTTTCTTCAAACTAGGCTGAAGAAAAATTTTCATGGTTTTTCTTGTATGAATCGTAAGACGTAAGACATTTTGTTTAAAAGGAAGCTTTAATTCTAGAAAAGGTTAAAATTATTATAATTTTATCCGTGGGAGTCAAAACAATAAAAATCCAAACCAAAACCTTCTGGCATTGTTTTTAAGCTACCAAAATAAACAAAACCATATTAAGCCCACTAACATTTCTGTTAGACGGTTCCAGAATCAGATTTATTCCTACAACTAACCAGGAGTTTCTGGCAGGCCCTAGACAGTCACAGAATTTCCATGAAGAGACAGGAGAAAACAGTGATGGGATGAGGTTGTAGAAGACATATTTTGTATTTTGAAAGTAACAAGATGAAGGCTGCTTGGAGCCTAAGAAACATGCACTCTAATGTGCACATCATAAGGGCAAACCAACATATATTCAATAAGATTTTTCTTGCAAGAGAGAAAGAGCTACACTCACTCCTTGAAAATATACTTGTTACCTCCACAAACTAAGGGAATTCATATGTAGATCTAAAGCTTCCTGAGTATTTTAATTTCTTACTTTAAGAAGATTGACAAAGAAGTTAGGATAACTGTAAATTACATAGGAAAATACCATTTAGCATGGCATTTTTTCCAAGCATAGCTTGCTAATTAGTGTGCAAATCCTGTTAACAGTAACCTTACTGCTTGGATTATTTAACTTTTAAAATAAAGTTTATACTATTTTACAGAACTTTTGAATGAAAACTTATGCTTTAAATATTCACCTAATTCATCATAAAAGAACACAACAGGATTAAATCCCATTACAATAGACCAAATTAAACAAAGACTACATACAGGGAAATTTTCAGTTCCTTTGGAATGACCTGTATTCTATGAAAGCAATAGACAGTGGATAGAAACCATAAAATCAGATGCAGGACAAGACCAGGACCCTGTAGCAACCTGTGCTAAATGAAGAAGTTCCTCTGTGCCTCCTGACCCTGGGTGGCGCATGGACAGCCTGAGTCCGGCCTCTGCGGCGCACATCTAAGGATAATGAATTAACACTAACAGCAAACAGCTGCCAGGTTCCCTTTGATCCCACTCATTCCCTTTCATACCAGAGAAATTCAGTGTGGAGAGTGCACCACCTCTGCCCTTTGGATGGTGTGCCCGGCCCCTCCACCACTCGGTTCCTTCTGATCTGCTCTGCCAGCCAGTTCCCGCTGCCATTGCGCATGACAAACTTGTCGAGAAACACCAGCTGGCTCTCCGGCCCGTAGAACCAGTTATAGTTGGAATCTGCGATGGCCACAGTTCTCTGGAACCCTTGGGGAAAAGCGAGAAGGAGAAAGAACAAATAAGCACACAAAGATGCTTTTGAAGAGCATGCCAGTGAAGCCAAGCGGTGCAAACAGAGGCAGCCTTTTCAGATGTTTATAGATCTGCTTGTAAATGAGCCGTAAATAGGTTACACAGGAGTGGTTTCCTTCTGCTGCAGCTAACTTGAATATTCACCTTTCTTCTTTGGCTTTGGGCTATGGACAGCCAAAGCACTCCACAAAATGTAAGATGCAATCCACTTCCTCTCCTCACTCAAGTCTGGCAAAGGTAACTTTCCCTTTACAGTTTTCAGGTTTTTATGTGAATCTATACTCTGCAAAGGAATAAACCAGAGGGGCCCCCAATGAACAAGATAATCAGCTTCACCTTGAAATCATCAGTGTGAGCTCATTTTGCTCTTAGGAACCTCTTCCTAAAGGATGCCTGGGGTCTCACATGGATTCAGCACAATTCCTTATGTGCATGTGCTGGCACACCAAAGCTGCATTCAGCCCCCCTTACACATACATGGGTAGATCAGGGGTTCCAATACAGTTATCTAAGTTTTTTTTTACCTGGAATTTGAGCAATGTAAGTTCCTAATGAAGTGTCCTGCAAATAAGTAACACAGGGGGTAACAGCTTTAAACTGAGAGAGGGTAGACCTAGTTTAGATATGAGGAAGAGGTTCTTTCCTGTGGGAATAGTGAGGCACGTGGACAGGTTGTAAAGTTGCGGATGCTCCACTCCTGGCAGTGTTCAAGGCTAGGCTGGATGGGGTTTTGAGCAACCTGTGCTAGTGGAAAGTGTCCCTCATTTAGAAGCAGTGATAAACAAGGCTGTTACTGTTTTGATAACTGTTGAAGGTAAAATCCAAGGAAATGGTTATTTTGAAAAATATCCAAGTAGAGTGCTATTTTAAAATGGCCTATTTAAAGTATGAAATTTATTGCTGCTTCAAAAATAAAGAGATTCATCTTCATTCACCCAAAGGACCTACCTGGCAGGATAGTCCTGTACATAAATGCAAAGTGCTGCTTGAGCCAGGGGTGGCTGAAGTGATTGATGTCAAAATGCCTTTGGACAAGAAACATGTACTGGAACAGTGATCTGGTTGTGTAGCTGCCATAAGCCACCCCTTCATAGAGGGAGCCATCTGTGACCTCCTGCAGCAGGACTACTGACTTCTCCATGATTGCCAACACTTGCTTGGTCCACAAGTAAGCTTCCTGAAGGTAGCCTGAAAGAAATGACAATGGCAAAACTAATTATGACATAACAGTTCATAGATGGTGCTGCCTGTATTCCCACAGTGGGGTCCTTCCCAGCATGGAATCTGCAGTCCAGGGGTCTATAATACAACCTATTGCTGCAGCATCCCTGTACTTCTAAGGTGAAAAATAAAAGTAAGACAAATTTAAATACAGCAAAGCAAGGTCACATGAGCATGGGAAAATCTATCAAACAGCTTTTGCTAGTAATATGGGGCTATGCTTTACAACTGAAAAAGAAAATTTCCTGAACACATTCAGGACATGCAAAAAAAGGGAAGAGCCAAACCAAGACTATTTACTGCATTTCAAATTAAAGCTGTATGAAAACAAACCAATGGCCCCACTAGAGGGCTCCAATAATGCAACAATTCTGATCGGTCATTTTTCACTGGCAGGATCATCAGCATGGTAATGAGATACACAGAGACTAAAAAAGTAAAAAAGTTCACATTTGAGCTGCAGTTAACTGATATGACGATGAGCTAACTCATGCTCTATTTTAAGACCTGCTCTGTTCTACTGATATTTTCAGTTTGTTGTACAACCTAAAGGGTTATCCAAATAAAAGCTATTTTGGAAGAGCTTTGCATGGGTAATTCCAAAAGTAGATTCTTCAATTCCTGAATAAAATTAATCTTCGAGGCAGATAAATTCTCAGCCTAGAGATGTTACTGTTTTGGTCTGCTCCACACAAACCAAGACCCGGGAAGAGGTCACAAGAAATCTTCTCAGTGCCAGTCTGCTTTCACTAAGCACAAGCAGGAGAGCCTCCAGCAGAAGTCAGCACATGGAACCCAGCAGAGGAAAGGCTTTTTGGATTGAGTAGCAGGAGAGGTAGGTCTAAACAGACATCAACTGCTTTGTGCTTCTACATGGCAGCCTAGTGTTCTCCCAGTTCAGTGTGTCTGGACACAGATTGAACCAGACTTAATTCCACCCTATAGCAAAGCCCAGCTGGCACATGTTACACCTCACTATGTGGTGAAGCAGTGCCTGCTGAATGAAGCACATGTGCTAAGGGAGTAGGAGCTACATTCAATCCTGTTACTCAGTGTTTCATCCCATTGCCACCAACACTGTATTTATGCTCAGCAGAGTGATGAGTAATTCAGGCATCCTACCAGTCAAGGCTGCCAAATCCTGCTCAGTTAACTGAGACAAAAAAAAAAAAAATAGCAGTGTCTAAGCAAAACAGACAACCTGAGTCTATCACAGTACTTTAAATGCCTGGCTGAAGAGAAAACTTTGGTGGGGAAGACCTGAGCAACAGTGGCAGTGGTACTACTTCCACTTCACTCCCAGCTATTAAGACACTTTTTCATTACTCTTCATGGAATTGGCAGCACAGTGGTCTGTCAGAATAAAATCCTGAATGTTTCCACTCCTGTTTTCCCTTGTGACATAAAAGGGAAGCTATGCTGCAAGAATGTGATTTGCTATGGTTCAGCATAGAGCCTTTACCGTTGTACTGCATTAATGTTCTGTTTACTTCAGGTATATCTAGGCTATAACACTACACTTGTAGCACACTAAAAGAACAATAATACATTGAAATGAAAAAATTAAAAGACTCAACACCCTGTCACACTACATGGCAAACCAGAACAAATTTCACCTAAATTTAGCAGTATATAAATCAGGTATCTATATTAATATCAAGGCCTTAAGTTTCTATTTTTAACATCTGAGTGTCTAAATACAAAGACTTCTCCAAATGCACGTGCCTAGAATTAACTTCAATTAGTTTCACTTTCATTCCTTTGGAAACATTTACATCCATTTAAATTGGCTGTTTAGTGTCTACAGGCTTCAATAGCTGAATTGTGTTTAAACTTACTAGCTGGAATTTAAACCTTCTGTGAGAAAGGTCTACACTGAGATACATTATTTGCAATTGCCACGTATCTGATGCAGAAGCAAAACATGTTCATTCCTTTTCTCCCTCCTTTTTTTTTCTCCTTCAGATTATTTTCTTTCATATTGGAATTACAATTTGCCTTTTTTTTCCATTTTAGACTAACAGAAAAACCTAATTTAAGTTTAAGTTAAATTTAAGTTGCTATTAAAAAAAACCAAGTTTCTCTATATCAAAACAACAGCACTTAAATTTAGAAATATAAAGTCTGTTTTGACCTATTTTCATTTGAAATATTACTATTTTCAAATTGCTCAAGAATTCATTAGTTTCCTGCTTTTTTCCTTCCTCCTCCCCCCAAACACCATCACTTTAGTGAAAAAAATATTGCCTGGCTTTGTGATGCTTTCATTGTTTTACACAAGGCATACTTATGGTCTATACCTAATGAAAAGCAGAATCATCTTGCAAACTGCCAGCTTTCTGCACCAAAAAAGGCTTAGGGAAGGATGGAATTATATGAAATTTAGCAAACCCACTGAATAAACATGGCTTTGAGTCTTCAATTTGTGGAAGGCAAGACAGGAGGATAGGGAATAACTTCCACACATGCTCTTGATGCTTTTCAACATATACACATCAGTCACTGTGTTTGTTTTGACAGGCACTTAGCAAAAAATGATCCTCCAAACACAGTAGGTGCCACCGTTTTTTGTCACGTTTCTTTGGGCTCTTGAAAGCTCCAGTGATGTGCAGATGTGCCTCTGTTTGGCAGGGCTGAGCAGCTTGGCAACACCATCAGCATCCAGAAACTAGATTTTCCTGGACTTGCAGTGCATAAGTAATTCCACTGGGAATCATGTTTTCAAAATACTTCTAGCACATATAAAATAATTACCTGATGAAATATGGATTCATTCTTATAAAAGCGGGAGCTGACTCCATGACTTCCATCTCTCAGCTGAAGTACCTCTGGGGTTTAAAGTCAAGATTGCTCACCTGCTTTCCCTCTCACTCTTGTGACTTGCATTCTCCAGCAGGACAGGGACAGCCCCTTGACAGAGCAGGCAAAAGCTACTGGCCAGAGTATTCACCTTGGAAATGGTTTTATGCCCCCAAAGCAAAGAAGAGGAAACCAGGCACAAATGTTTGTTGTGGGGTGCAATAGCAGAGTTCAGAGGAAAAAAAGTACAGCCTTGGATATCTCCATAGAAAAGGCTGTTGGGAAGAAATGTCCTAAGCTATGGCACTTGGGTGGATAAAGTTACACTTTTGCAGATCCTCCAGGTGACAGGACAAAAGCCTTGGATGGAATTCCAGGCTATCCTGTTGTCTGGCTCCCAGGTCAGAGCACTGGGTGTTTCTGACTGCTGACTTTCACAATGCTTTGTGTAAGGAGATCGAGCATCATTCTACATTGATGATCTACTCTGAAAGACACTGTCCACGAATCAGGACTGACAAACTGTACACAATGGGATTTTTAACTTTTATAAACTGTGAGGTAAGAATTTCAGAATCACTTGGAAAACTGAACTTATACACATACTCATAATGACTTGTACATCTGCCCACAGACTTTTGCTCTATTCACTAAATTAAATTTTACTAAGTAGCAAAAGAGTAAACCCAATAGTGCTGTACACTAAAGAAGCATTTTTATCAAACCCTGAACTTTGCTGCTTAAGTGGCTGATTTGAGTTGATAGACTTTAGAAAAAACATCCCTATGGCTCAGCACATACCTTGATTCATCAGAACCAGGCTTCCAGCCAGCAGGGCCACACAGTTGGTAGGCTGGTGGTTGTGAAGGTACTGGAAGCCCCATCCACGTCTGTATGATGTTTCGTACATGTATCCCGAGGCATTGGCAATTACTTCAAGAAATCTCTCCTGTTGAATCTTGCTAAGGTAGCTGTACAAGAAGTCATAAGCAGTGGCAAAACCAACCAAGGAGTGAGCAAGAGGGACTTCATCCCAGGGGGCATCCTTCACTAGCCTGTCAAAAAACAAAGACAGCAATTAATTGAGTTTCACCTACTTAGCTTTCCCCCTTACTCTACTGTGATATGTATATGACTTTGAGTCTCCCAAGTTAGATGATTCGTGTTGAATTTTAACACAGTACTTAGCTACTTACCAAGTCTCTAAACTATTTTTTCCCATCCTAAGTATGGACAGCATTAATCTTCAAAGCTCAAAAACTTTTAAATAAAGATTAAGTTGCTAAATGTTCCAAAAATGTTTGAAATATTCTGGGTTTTGCTAGGAGAAAGATAGGCAGAATACTGATTGTACAGAAATAGAATCTATTCATCTGAAGAAAGATGATTATAATTTTTGATAAAGTGGTTTATACTCCTCCAACCTCCTGTAACAGATCTTTTTTCTTTTCCAAAGGAGTCAGTTGATGATAAATGCTGCCTATGAGACTAAAGCTGTCTTTACAGCAAGTATAATAAAACAACTCACTACACTGTTTTTTCATCTCCCAAGTGCATTCAAGGACAGAAGTAGAGAAGAGGAAACTTAGTTTTACTAAAGCTTGAATTAACATTTTTAATAAACACTGGGGTTTTTTAATGATAAGAAAGAAAAGAGGTAAAATGCTGTCAATACTAAAAAATTATTTTCTAGGAACTACTGGCTTGTGTCCCATGATTACACTGAACTTAGAAAACAGTACATTTTTACCAAGCAAATTCATAACATAGGTTGTATGGAGAAAATATTCCTGTTAAATCAAGCATACATTGTGTATCAAAAACTTTAATTTTGCAGTACTTACAGTACTTCCAGCCCATGGTTCTACAGAAAAGAAAATGTGAAGGAATACATAGTGAAAGTAAACTCCTATAAACTGAAAAATCGTCAGTTGCTTTCATGCTTTCATGCTCTCCTCTTTCACTTTTTTTGCAATCTATTTTTTATTACAGAAATGAATTAAAATTGTTGAGATGAGTGTCCTACTGCAATCAGTAGAAGTGATGCTGTGCTCCTGAAGGCACACACATTCCAGTTTCAACTATTTGATGACTCGACAAATATGATTTCATCTTCATTTGTGTAAGCAGCAGTGTGAAGAGATGAGAAAAAAAATCCCCAAAGAGTAAGATAAAACCAAAAAAGTTCTGCTGCAGAAGCATTTATTGGCATTCAAATGCATTAATAAAGCATGTAAAAATTACAAACATCAGCCTAAGGGCTGCAATGATGGTAAAAGATATCATGTGCAAGTAAAAAAAAAAAGACCTTTAACTTTTATTTCAGCATATTTAAATCATTGGAAGAACTCAAGTTTGGCACATTCATACTGTCATGTAAAGAAACTATCTGTATGCTTTTTGATCAGATGAATTTCTGATCAACAGTTTTAACTGTTCACCTTCTCTCAGCTTTGATTCCATATTCTGCCTGCAGTAAAGCTAAACATTCTTTTTTCCTTTTTTAAAATTAAATATTTGTCTCACAAATTTAAATACATCAAACTGAGTTATCTGGTTATTTGTCAATCTCAATTAATTCTCTATTTCTGCTTTTAAATCTTTCCTTATAATTGAAAGAGCCATTAAAATGCTGTTGATCCTATACATAAAACTAAAATTACATTCTATGCCAACTATATGCAACACTCTGGCACCATGATTCCTTTCAGGAATCCTTTGACACAGAAAAATTCCTTTCATCAGCTATATCATGAATTCTAATTTCCAAGGTATTTTCAGAAATCAAAGTTCAAATAGGTACAGGGAATTTCACTTTAAAGGCATCTGCTTGGAACAATTACAAAGAGTTTGAGGCTAAACTATACATTAGGGTGGAAGAAAAGTCGAATGAAAGAATTTGAGCTAATTAAAAAAATTTAATTCAAAGTTCAGTATCTTTTTAACAACACACAAGCTCCTAATTAGATTCTGCTTAAACCTATTGTGCCGAAACCTGATCTTTACCTGACTAAATTTAAAATGGGATTTGTCAGTGGAACTGATTTATTGTAACCTTCACTGTTAAGGTGTATGCTAGCTTTATGTTTAGTTTCTAACGGAGTACCACATCAAATTCTACAGTGTAAGAGCATATAATAGTCTCCATGACACTGCTTCTGACAAAATAGAAAGCAGTCTTCTACATGAGAGGTGATAAATTGAGAAGTTATAACTGCATTTAGGCTCCTGATCTCTTCAGGGAAGAAATAAAAACAAAACAAAAAAAACCCCAAAACACACCCCCCAGCCTTTCCGTGTAAAAACCTTTTAATTATGTTAGGCACCCTTATCATAAATACTGACACAGTTACCCAGCTTGGGTTAGACAAGCAATTTTGTATGAACTTCAGCTTCACAATTAACTGTGTCTGACGACAGCAAGTAACCTCGACCTCAAGGCTGCATTAGCCTTTAAAGGCATCAGATCTTACAAAAGCAAAAAAACAAATCCAAAGTAAATAAAAATAATCTATAATAGGTTCTTTTATACAGAACAGCTACTTAGTTGCAGACATATGAAATTTGAGCAAAGGCAACTGTTTAAAAATTCTAAATATATTTTAAATTCTAAAAGATAAAGGCACCCCTACAGTACCTTTTTGCACTTATATACCTGCATCTGTAGGTATAGGTATATTTGGAAGAGGTGCCTATCTGGAAACTTGAGAAGGTTATGAAAGAGGAAAAAGTGCTGAACAGGTTTGCTACCTCATGATCAAACTCCATAAACATCCAAAGCCATATGCATTGTTCTGCACAAAAATCTGCTGTCTGGACAAATCCTGTGAATGGCACAGGATAAATACATGCCTGGGGTGTTCTTTACATTTGTGTTCATCTGTATCCTATAAAATATGTTTGTTACATTTAGAGTTTGATATGAATCCTCCATGAAGAAATTGGAGAAATAAAGAGATCATGGATAAGGTTGCAATTATGGATAAGTAGTATGGTTTTTCTACATGTGTTGAGAATTTTAGCATGCTGCAATGTGGTTTATCTGTTTTAGATTTGCCACCTTCTGCAATGAACAATGAATATGAAGAGGGGGATTAAGACCTTGTTTTCCAATGATCAATTGATGGCACTGCATTTCTTCTATGTATACACAGCACCTTCATTAAATGCAATTCCAAACTCTAAATAAGTATACCATTTGCATAAAATTTTGGATGGAAAGTAAAAATCACTATCACCAACAAAGCCAAGATCACTACAACCTCTCTATTTCTTGACAACATTCCTGATGCTAGTACTGCCTCTTCTCTCAGTAGAAATGTGTTTCTTTAATTTCTCACTATTCACTACCAAATAACTACTTCCTTACTGAAAGCAGGGTCACCTGGGCTGGGGCAGTCCCAGACACGAGTGGGAGAAGAATTCACTGGGAACAGCCTTAAATGGTGGATTTTGGGGTTCAGGTGGATGAAAAGCTGGACATGACCCAGTGATGTGCACCTGTAGCCCAGGAAGCCAGTTGTTCTGAGCTCAGCAAAAGCAGCACGGCCAGCCAGCAGGGGAGGGACTTTGCTCCTCCACTCTACCCTGGTGAGACCCCACCTGCAGTGATGTAAACTGCTCTGGGCTCCTCAGGAGGACATGGAAGGACATGGACCTGCTGGAGCAAGTCCAGAGGAAGCCAGAATGATGCTCAGATGGCTGGAACACCTCTCCTATACAGACAGGCTGAGAGAGATGGGGTTGTTCAGCCTGGAAGTCTCCAGGGAGACATTACAGAAACCTTCTAGTGCCTAAAGGGGGACACAGGAAAAAGAGAAGTTTTACATGGGCAGATAATAAGACATAGGGGAAAGGTTTTAAAGTAAAAAAGGAGATTAGGAGTTACGAAGAAACTCTTGACTGTGAGGGTGGTGAGGCACTGGCACAGGTTGCCCAGACAAGTTGTGGATGCCCCAAATCTGGAAGTGCTCAAGGAAGTGCTTGGCTGGATGGGGCTTTCAGCAACGTTGTCTAGTCCAAGCTGTCCCTGCCCAGAGCAGGGGTTTTGGAACTGGAGGATCTCTAATGTCCCTTCCAATGCAAACAATTCTGTTTCTATGATTCTATTAGCATTTCTCTCAAAAATACAAGCCAAGAGGGAAAAACCACTATATGGCCAGTTCAAGGCAGGATTTAAATCAAAATCTGCTGCTCAAGTGAATTCCTTGATCATGACCTGTGGGATGTTTAGATTCATCTTTCCTTCACTGTGTATCCAGTTCTTAAAAACAAATTGAAGCAAATAGGAAAATAACCCTCTTTAATCTGAGATATAGAATACCCTTCCAAGCAGTGTGAGATTGGATTTTTGGCCTCTAGGTCAACAACGAACATGGTATCAGTGCATGCAAAATGAAGAATTAAGCACATCCTGACACATGCATAACACAAGTAATCCACATCCTGAATTTAATGCTCCAAAATTTCCCATGACAAATCACTGCAGAGTAATTCCTGGAGGAGGAAATTGAAGGATGCCAGTACTTGCTCCTCAGTACCGAAATTCTCAATCTCACTAGGTGCATGCAAAGGAAACGAGTGAGAACTCTCTCCTAATGGCTTAGAAGTGAAAATTAGTTCTAAGACAGCCCTGTAGTGCATTTTGATGCCATCTACCTCAGATATTGGTACCCGGCAGTGAGAATGGTTGAGTTTAATGCACACAAGATGTCAAGTGTGGATGCAAACGAGGCATGCAATGGGGCCAAGTGAACTCTTGATCGCTTGTGCACTTGTGCACTCGTCCCAATGCCACAGGCAATGCCTTGGCACTCTTCCTATTGTCCTGACTCACTTCTGAGGGTCTGTCCTGACCCATTCCCTATCAAGGGGGAGAACACCTTTCAAGGGGAGTGAGACTACCAACATTTATTTTATAAACCAGACCAAATCTTAAATATTTTTCTTACAAAGTCTCCAAAACAAAGTCATTTTTTTGATCAAGTGAAATATTTTCTTAATAAATGGAGCAATACTCTACAACTGTCGTTTTGGGAAGAAAAAAGAAGACTCT